AACATAAAAGAGAATTGCCATTTCTATAACTAATGTGTTCTTCTGGAGTTTATAACTCAATCTCTTTAATCCACACTGGGATTAAATGTGTGTGAATTGTCATCTGAGGACCTAACTGTGTGGGGTTTTTTTATGTTTAATTAGAGCCATCATAGAAAATCCATTCTATGTATAGCATAACTTGTACTATTGTGCTGTGTTGATAAAACACCACCTCTGTCTGCTCCCTCCCACTGGTGCCATCAGCCACATGTAGTATTTTCAAGCCATCTTCACTGTCATAGGGTAGAAATAGTGAAACTGTGGAGTGTTAAAAGAATTATCCATGCAATTTTGCATTTAAAAATCACAAAAATAAATTCCTTCAGCTGGTATCTTTTCACAGAAAATAGCAAAATAGATCTTGAGCGGAGAAAGAGAATCTACAGAAGTAAGAGTGATAGATGTAACTGATTTTGTTGGCCCGATTGCAGGTGATAAGAGGAAATGATATATATTTTCAGAAACTCAAATACGCCTTACATTTTCTGTTTTGTTAAACGTTTCAACATTTTTAGTTTCTGTTATTGAATTTAAAAATGAGAAGATTCCCACAGAGGCTCAGACAGGCCATATGATTTGACCACAGTCGCACAGTGAAGGAGCAGAAAGGTAAATCAAGCCCAGATCCGTGTGACTCTGCAGATGCTCGGCTACATTGCAATGCCTTCTGGTGTTTTATTTTACTTTCAAAATGATAATGGAGGAAGATAGAGTGTGAATTTTTGTAATATTTCAACTGAATTGAGTTGAGAGGTATACAATACAAAGATGCATACTTGGAAAAAGCATATCCAATACAATTATATATGGAGGAAATGGAAAAAAAAATGAGAAGATTCCAGTTCTAGCAGATCAATATGGCTTACCTTCTTGTGACAATAAGCTACTGCATACATTAGAAATACAGCATATTTATAATAAGTTAGAATGAACGTGCAACGTAAATAAACATCACAGGAAAAATATTTCAGAGAATGAGTAATGCAGATGCTATTAGCTTTTTGTTAGTGGTCTTTAAAGAAATACACTATTGAGTAAAAGTCAATAGTGTATTTCCTGGACTTTTTAGATTATAGCATCAGCCGTAAACATTATATTGTGATTTTGCAAAATTTCATTCTCCTTTAAGATTTCTGATGACCCTCTATGGTTTATCTTACACAGGTACAAGTGAATCTTTCTAAAAGCAGAGTATGAATGTCTTAATTCAATAACTAAGAAAATGACATGAAGGTTATGTTAACCAGTTGGATGGGAGTATTTCAAAATGTATATGAAAACAGCACACTGTACCCCATGATTGCATTAATGTACACAGTTATGCTATAAGAAAAAAAAGATTTCTGATGACATGTTCTCTTTCAGTGCTACCGCGCACAGTGATTCTCAACTACTGTTTGCCAAGGCTTTTCAGCCCTTCGTTGTAGTCATCAGCTCCATGGCTTCCCAAGCGTTCTTTCCAAAATACAAATCTGGTTATATCTTTCTTGAAAAACATTTTTGAACAGATCTTCATGCTTTCAGAACAAAATTATAAACACTTTTACATTGGCCCTACCAGTATCACCTCTGTATCCTAGATTTCTTTTATTCTCAAAATATTTCACACTCTTCTAAAAATCCAGTTTCATGGACCCCTGAGTTTCGTGCTGCTTTTCTCTGTCCCAAGTGCCTTCCTTACTCTTGTCCTTTGGTCAAGTCTTACTTGTCCTCCAAGGCTCTGATCAAGTGTAGCCTTCTCTTGACGCATCTTCTTTCTTTTTCTTAGGACCTGGGCTACTCTGGTTCTGTTGGACTGTTTTTCTTCCAATGCCCTCTGCATTTTTCTTGTATTAGTCAAAAATTTTTATTTGGCTATATTTATATATTTATTTATTCCTTTCTTTGGAAGTCTTTGCCATGGAGCAACAACAATTATTTTTTAATTGGTTTTCCCATCCCCTGTACCAAGCAGAATGTCTCGTTGTTTGCAGTCAGTCAACATATTTTGAATGAATAAATGAATAAGTCATATCTTTTCAGAAAAGTAGATGCATAGATGTGATCATTTGCCAGTCCTTATTTGGGGAACTGTATTCTAGCAGCTGTCTTGAAATTGTACAGTCTGGATGCCAAAAGCATCTTGCAAAATTACTCATCTACAAATAAACAATTTTCAAATGTTTGAAAATCAAATTCATGGAAGTCTGTAGTTGTATCTGAAGTGCAGATGGCAATTTAACCTAAGTTTATAGAAGATAAGTCTGTAAGATAATGTGCCTTAAACTATATGATATGTTTATATTTTATTTGTTTCATTTGCTATTCCGTTTGATGATTTCAAGTGGTTTTAATCATATGTATTCTCAGCTATTATATTTTAAAAATTATATTAAAGAAAGATAGCATACATAGGAGTTGAAGGTTTTACTAACAAGTTAGGTTAGTTAATTTAAATTCTTTCTCACTCAAAGCAATACAAATTAATAAGTTGACTAGGTGGATGTCTTAAAGACTGTTAAATAACCAATTTTGGCTGAATCAGATTTTAAATTTTTGGTAATATGAAACATGATAAATTATTCCACATTTCTCCTTAGAAAGAGTCCATATTGGCACTATTTCTTTTGTAGATAGAATTACAAAGAGGTAAAGAACTAGACACTTTTTATTCTTAACTTTTTCATAGCACGTATAAATTTGGTTGTACATCTCTACTAAAATGTGGGCATAGAACTGTGGCATTTTAGGAATTTTTCCTAAAGTGACATTGATTTAAACTATTATTCCTACTAGAAAACATGGAACAAAACCAATGTATCTGCTGATTCTGTAGACATAAAAGAAGATTGTAAGAAACAAATAATTTCCTGAAAACGTAGGGCAAAATAAACCACAGTATAGTTAAATAGATTAATAAATCTGGGCCCTCTATTCTGTTCCAATGAATCTTCTGTTATCTATAATCATAGGTGAATATTTCACTTAGTGGATTTATCCTTTCTGTTTCTGGGGTATATGTTGGATGTTTTGAATTAGGAGGCTACATATTAGAATACCAAAAAATAACTCCCCACAAATCCTGGTAATTTTTCTTTCTTTCTTTCTTTTTTTTTTTTTTTTTTTGAAAAACCTGCTGCTGCTTTTTCTGGGCTGGCGTTCTTGTTAGGATGAGTAATTGGTTTTACTTTTGAGGTTTCCCTACATTGATTTCATTCTTTCACCTGCACTTATTTCTCAAGAAGAACTAAGGAATTCCTGACAGCCTTTACCAGATACCTCTTATCATAGCATCCTTTCGGCTTCCACCTTATCCTAAATATTAGAGTTGATTTTAAAATGCTTTATTGGTATGTTTTCTAGCATTTGCAACTAGTTAATGTGGAAATATGGGATTAGAACATTCATGAAATAACTATGGTATTTTCTCTTCAACAAAACTTAGTTGTGCTATAAAGAAGATGGCCTTGTGACAGCTTCTGGTTATACTGTCTACTGCCTGTCATTGTATTCTCTGTCCTTATCATTAGCCCTCAATTTACCCTGGACATTTCTTAGGATTTTTACCTACATCTCTTTCTTATCTTTTGGAGTTACTATGTCTTCCTTTTAATAAAGTCACCCATATACCATTTTATTGTTCTCCCAAGCAGATTCTACTTTATTGACTAAATGTTCCCCTATATACACTTAGTATGCAGAAGATTCAAAGCCATTTCCTTCTAATAAATTGCACAATCCTTATATTGCTATTTAACTTTACTAAAGCTCCTTTCCTTAATCTAAAATATGGCAATAATATATTTTACAGACAATCTATTTGATATCCATGAGAGGGTTAGAGCTTCCAAAAATTCTGTACCTGTCACTTCCTGGTTAGAAAACAGTCAAAATAAAACCATCAGTTTGGCTTCTTAAGTCTTCTTAGGTAGTCAATGATGTTTATCTAACCTGGACTCTCCATCCCTACCAGATTATACGGTGTATGATAGGTGTGGTCTTGCTTCTTATAATTTTCCCAGTAACCTCCTGCTTGGAATGTGTTCATTTTTCCACTGTACATGCTACTTTTTCCTCAAAGATCCCACAAAGTCTTTTTCAAAAACTTTAATAGCTGTAACAGTACAAAGGGCTTCTGCTCTCCTGAAATACTATCACATTTATTATACAATAACTTCTTCCCTACTACACTCTGAAATTATCTCCATTATTGTGCTTACCACAGTTGTTGGTGTTGATTTGATTTAATTTTGTTTTTGTTATTGTCCTTGTGGTGCTCTTAATTTAGTTAGGCGATGACCTCCTTGGTGGCTGCAGGATGGAATTTTTCATCTCCTTATCTTAGATAACCAGTAGGGGAACATAATAACTGCCTGACTATGTCTATCTATCTAAATGAAATAAATTAAATAGAATCTATTATTTAACATACTTATTTATATTGTTTATTGTCTTTGTAATTGCCATCTCTTCAATTCTTGAATGTTCTTAGTGCTTCCACTCTGGAATTCTAGAATATAAATTTTTTAAGAACAGGAATAATATTTTATGTCTTGTAGTATCCCTGTGCCTTATACAACATCTTGAAATTAGTATGTGAACAATGAATTCTTGCCAACAGATTGATTTGGGGGGGAGGAGATGGTTGAATAAGAGAGTGAGTCTTTTCTACCTTTATTTAGAAACTAGAACCAAGCTGGGAAACCATATTTTTCCTTAAAAATGTTAAAATAATTAAAAAACATTTTTTTGGCCAAAATTATAATGTACAACATTTAAAATATGACAACAAATAATTTTGCTTTTTTTCTTACATTTGATGGGATAGAATTCTCTTTTTATTTTGGGAAGTGTGTAAAAATAGTTCAAGAACTATAGCCTTCCTCTGGCATAGTGCACCACATTTTCTCCTCGATATCTTATTTTTCCCTTAAATCAATGCTTGATATTTACACACTTTCTTTCCTTTTTATTTATAGCTCCTCCTCAGTTTGTGGTTAGGCCAAGAGATCAGATTGTTGCTCAAGGTCGAACAGTGACATTCCCCTGTGAAACTAAAGGAAATCCACAGCCAGCTGTTTTTTGGCAAAAGGAAGGCAGCCAGGTGAGTGTGAGCCTTGACTGCTTTTCTGAAATTTCTGAACTTTCCCTGTCTCTGGTGCTCCTCAAACTTACCTTGCCTTTCTCAACATCAGTGTTGAATTGAATTTATTTCTTAAAGAAACACAATGAATTCTAAAATGGGAGTCAGATACTCTAGTATAGCACCCATTTGCTAGTGTTGATTTAATAACTTCTGTATCTTATGTAGAATAGATATAAAACAGTGTAAGAAGATTATCTTAAGAATTTCAACCAAAGCTTCTCTAGCTAATTAAAATCTCTAGTGCTTGGCTTTCTTATATTGAGTTACACGGTATGATGACAGGAGTTAGTACATAGAAGGTGTTTAGAATAGTCCCTGTCACATGGAAATCATGAAAAAATGTTTCTTATGTTAATGGACCTAGAATCTAAATTTCAGTTCCTTCCTTTGAGGAGAGAGCATAAATGACTTTTCTTATCAGTAATTTAAGTATGTTTACATTTAAGAGCAGAATGAATGTTTTCCCCCATTGTTCCTTCTGAATGCATATATTGTGCAGTAAGATGGGAAACAATACCTCATATACTAGATAATAATACAAGAAGGAAAACTGCATTGTCTTTATTGGCCTTTGTTTGCCCTTTCCAGGGCCCTCTCTGGGTAGAATGGCCATTTAGAGCCTCTGCAAAAAGTCTGCTGAGTACATTACTATCTGTTTAGAACTTGATCTGAACTTTGACTACAGCTTACCTTCTAGATTCAGAGACCATGGGTAAAATTTCCGGCTTAAACCAGATCAAAAATTGTGGGGTTTTGCCTAGGAATTTATCCATATCTAAGAGACTCGGAGATGATTTTGTTCAAAATTTTGCTAGAACTACCCACAACAAGGCATATAGTGCTCAGGAAGAGATCCAGTGGCTGCCTTCCTCATCACCTCCTGTAATTTGTCAAAGTTCCAGAAGAATTTCCTTTAAAGTGATGGAAATCTTTATTAAAAATTTCAGGAAATCTGAAAGCTTTGCCTGAGATGAGAAATATTGTAAGCTGCATTAAGATAACAACTCAAATGTATTTTTCTGACCAGAAAGTTCTTTCTCAGCCATTCACTCTAATTGTTTAGGTGGGTCCTTCTACATTCCTGTACCAGCCCCAAACTAACAATTTTAACAACTCACTAGGGATGGACAAACGGTCTCTCTTTGTTTTCTCCACTCTCCTTTTTGGAGTCATTTTCCTTGTGACCTGTGGTATGTGAAGGCAGTAATGGGGGTGCTCACATCAGAAGTGAGCCAGGCCATCATTCCCAAATCTTGTTTACTTACTGAGTTCCTTAACTATTCACGTAACAATTACTGTCCTGTGAAATCATACCAAACTCTAAAGTGAATATAAAGCAATGTGACATAAACACACATCTATACACACTATACACACGGAGACACACACTGAAAAAGAAGATTAGAAGCCATTTCCTTCTAACAAATTGCACAATCTTTATAATGCTATTTAACTTTACTAAAGCTCTTTTTCTTAAACTATGGCAATAATGTATTTTACTTGAAACTTGTTTTTAAATTAAGTGAATAAGTTATTTTATATATAAAAGTGCTTTATATGTGATGAAGGTCAAACAAGATGTTATTTCACTAATAGTAAATGTAATAGAGCAACACAAATTGATTATTACAAATTTATACTTTAGGTCCATCTAATGAATGAAATCCCATCACAATGTCTTGTTTTTATATAGGTGACTATATTTATACAAATCACATCCCCTCATATAGCTCCAAATTAAATACAAGGTATTACGTAAAATGTATATGAGCCCTATAGTCCATAATCATATGGTATTTAAATATACTACTTTATTTTTAATGGTTTTGAAACAAATAATGATTAAGTAGCATATAAGTATTCCCTTTTTCTATTATTTGACCAAGTGGCATGAATTTCACAGACATTAATGGTAACGGTTATGCACAATTTCCAGTTAAGTGCTTTGATTTTATTAATATCTTATGAATAGTTTTTTTTTTTTCACCTATCATCCACCTATCTCCCTCCCATCAAAAAGAGGATATGGAAAGAGAAAGAATAACAAGAGAAAAGTGCTTCAGCATATAATAATTTTTCAAATCATGAATTAGAATATTAAGAAAAATAAATTGGTTTTACAGTTGCCAGTAGCCAATTTTTACAGTGATCCATGACTATCCATCAGTAGAAATAGTGAAGAACGTGGGCCTAATGGCTCATATTCTTCAATGTGTGCCGATAACGCCAATTAGCACTAATAGGATATTCAGACACTTCAAGGCAAGAAGTGTGTGGAGTTCCTGGTTTTTGCTTGTAATCCATTTTCTTTTGCCTATGTCATACAAGCAGGGAATGGAGATGATGGGTTAACCTGCATCAAATGCCATTTTCCATGTCAAAGACTCATTTAGAAGGTGGACTGATATTACATTGTAGAGGAAGTGATCCCAGAGAGAATGAAGCCCATCTGATGCATTAGTGCTATGTAAATTAGTTTTCTAATGACTAATTGTAGGAAAGTGCACACTTTGAGGTATTGTATCATTTTCAAGTGGCTTTAAAATTTAAACCCTTTTCTCTTAGATGGTTATTTCATTAATACATTTGGATTCTACAGGAGAATCAACTTGTACTCAAATTATGTTTCATATGTGTGAAAATGTCCAGCCTTATTTAGTAGTGCACATTTTATAAGAGGTCAATAGCATATTGAAATTATATTCTTGACATGGTAGCAAACATCACTCCTTTTAGAAGGAGTTTAATAACATGGTAATGTTTATGTAAAGTGGGCTTATAGTGTCACACTTGAATCTAATAAAGTGGACATCCATCATGTTGCAATAAAGAGAAGAGCTTCTAATTAAAGTAGGACATCATTTGCTGGATTAAAGTCATTTAGTGTAATTGAAAAGTGTTAATACCCTATTTTATCCTATTCCATTGGTATTACTTCAAGGGTAAAAACATTTTAAGGTGAAAATGTGTCTTGTGCCTTTAATTGAATGTTATTACCTCCTGATTGCAACGTATTGAAACTGTTTAATTACAAACTTGGAAAATTAATTACTATATCAAGGCACAGATCCCAGAGGGTTATCATGTTCTTTTTTCGTAAGTAAATACAACATAAAAATTGATATGTCCTTATTTATAATCTAACTTGGAAACATACCTCAATATGATTTATTATCCCCAAATGTTTTTCTTAATTGAACAACAGTAAAGCAACGTAGGTCATCCGAATTGATGTTACTGCTCTCATGTAAGAACTTTTGAAATTTGTGATTAGGCTACATGTATTTTATATAAAAGCAAAAACAAATTTTAAAAAGAATATAATATTGTGAAGTTTAAAGTAACATGCACACTTTCAGAAATATTCCACTTCCTTTTATTTTGAATGATCTGCTTATCTTTTATTTTTCAGCAGCAGTATTTGTTTATAACTCCCATCAAAGCTACTATTACCTGTGGAATCCTTATGGCTTAAGTGATTGCATACCTTTGAACACCTTTAGGAGAAACTCAGTTGATATATCAAGTGTTCAAAATGATCAGCAGCAATTATAGTTTTGCATTCTTTTATACTGTAGAATTTATAAAGCCCATACAGTTAATATTACAGGCGAGACTGTCACAAGGTTTTAGGAGTTGAATTGGACGTACATTACTCTATCCATTTTGCAAATGAGAAAACCATGTTTCAGAGATTTTAGTAAGCAGTAGAAAGTCAGGAGAGAGTAAATAGTTCAGATAAAGATCCAGACTCTAATAGAAAAATGTAGATGATTGCTCTTTCAACTAGAGCATGCTGACTTCTTAGAGGGTGTTACTTTCACATTTTGAAAAATGTTTCCCAGTGAAACCCACTGTATGCTACTCAAATATTTCTGTATCGCATAGTTTTAAATCTGTATTATCTTTTTCTTAGCATATTGTCATAAGTGTAGTAGTTATTGTTGAAATAATCTTTACTACAAGTGGGAAAATATATTGATGGGATTGTATTTGTTTCCACAGAACCTACTTTTTCCAAACCAACCCCAGCAGCCCAACAGTAGATACTCAGTGTCACCAACTGGAGACCTCACGATTACCAACATTCAGCGGTCAGATGCGGGTTACTACATCTGCCAGGCCTTAACAGTGGCAGGAAGCATTTTAGCAAAAGCTCAACTGGAAGTTACTGATGGTGCGCTTTCATTGTAAATTTGTCTTGTGAAAATAATGTTTTGATTTTTATTTCAAGGTACACTTTAACCATGAGGAGTTTTCTGATTTTTAAAATTATTTAGTTAAGCACCTATCTCATAAGTCTGAATTTAGGTTAAAGCAACATCACTTCTTAATAGTTTATAATTCCCCCTAATTTAATAACACTTATTTTTCCAAGAAAGAAATCAGAAGCAATTTATTTAATTGTGAACAAATGTAATGATGATCCTGGACTAGTGATTTATGTCTATAATCTGAGCATTTTGAAAGGCCAAAGCAGGAGGATCACTTGGGACTAGGAGGTTGAGATCAGCCTGGGCAACATAGTGAGACCCCGTTACTACAAAAAATAGAAAAATTAGCTGACTTAGTGACATGCACCTGTAGTTCCAGCTACTCAGGAGGATGAGGCAAGAGGATTCCTCGAGCCCAGGAATTTGAGGTTACAGTAAGCTGTAATGATGCCACTGCATTCTAGCTGGTATAACAGAGCAAGACCCTGTCTCAAAAAAATAATATTAATGATGATGCATTATTCTTAAAAAATGGCATCACACTCAATTTGTATAGAAATGCAATCTGTACATTTTTATTTGATTTTACACTGACAGAATTGCTTCTGATAGACATTAATGATTGTATTTTACTCTACGAGGAGGAGCTATCACCTTTATATTATCAATGAAACAGGAATGAGGTTTGGTTAGCTTATCACGGTAGGGCATGCTTAAGACTTTAATTATACCTGCACAAGTTAAATTAATTAAGTGCTTTCCAAAGTATTGATGTGCTAAAGGTATTGTTATTTTCTATGCACACTTGTACTTTACATCTTAACGGAGACGCCTACACTGATAGTGAAAGTTGAAAAGGATGTGGTGCTCTGCATAATCTGATCCCCACCCCCCCGCAGCTATGTGCTCCAGTTGACAGCTAGGGGGGTTTAGCTGTTTTGTGAACCTCTGAGCAATAATTTTATCCCTACATTTTGATATATTAAATTTAAAAATTTCTTTCTTGGTCTTCTATGTTTCTGAGGGATTTAGCTTTTGTCTTGTTGTTTCTAGCACTGGCTTCTAAGATAGAAGAGCTATGGTTTGTGGCCTCTCGGATGCTCTTTCTTCACTGCTGGTGAAATTCAATATACTTCCATAAAATTCAAATTTACATGTAGATTAAAAGGTCATTTAAAATTGATACAAAGGCACTATTTTAAAAAATCTGTCCATGGTATGACCTGCTTCAGTGACATGCCAGGAATGGGAATAAATAGGATAGACAAACATTGGCTGCAGGAACACTGAGCTGTTAACAGCTGCACCTGCTGATGCTGTGGAGATTTACTGCCTTGGGACTGAAAGGAGAAGTCAGGCTCAAGGGTAGCTGTGATGAGAAATTTTCCCTTAAGTGGGCAAGATCTTTGCTTCTTCCGTATTTCTTTAAAAGAGTACAAAATAATTATATCATATTAAACACCTGTGTTTCCTTTTATCACTTAATTGTCCAGATACATATACTTGAAAAATAAAATATTCTGTCTAAAGTCTAGGCTTATTTTATATCACCATATAACATTCCAAACTAGAGATACCAGCTTTAATTTAGATATTTGGAGAATTTTACAAAACACTAATTCTAAAATGTTTCTAAATAAAAAAATTCTTGTAGAAAGGCAAATGATATTTGAAAAAAGATGCTAAACTGATAAATTAAAACAGCCAGTTGATATGACTGAAATGCTCCATGAAACGGGTGGATATTCTGAATTACAGCCAACAAAATAAAAAGGAAAACTTCAGAAAACTTAGCTTAGTTAATGGTATCTCAACAAAAGACTCATTATTCTAGCTTTGTTTCTGAGATCAAAATTTAAAACGTGATAGCCAAGTTTAAATATTTAGCTGAGATGATTCTGAGCATTTTGTTACCACTGGCTTGAATATGAATTCCTAAATTGATTTTTACTTAAATATGTACTCACAAAGTCTAGATCCTTTTGTAGAAACATTGAATAGAGATTATAGAGTCATTGGGCTTAAAAGTAAAGAAATCAAACTACAAGAACTAAATATATGCATATACACACATATTATACATAACTTTATCCCTAAATATTAAATTAACAGATATTCACTGATGAATTAGCTTTTCATAGTTTTTAGTTTTTGAAATAGGTTAATGCCTTAATATGTGAAACATTATTTTCATTTTGAACGTATATTTGTAGTATGATACAGGGCATTTTAGAGCCAATTGAAATTCCATTGCAGAATGAAAACATATGTTCAGAGAAATGAATGATTGCAGGCATATCTTGTTTTATTGCATTTAACTTTGTTCTTTGCAGACATTGTGATTTTTCAAAAACTTGAAAGTTTGAGGTGAACCTTAGTCAAGGAAGTTTATCAGTGCCATTTGTCCAATAGTATGTGCTCTTTGCAGGTCTCTATGTTGCATTTTGGCAATTATCATAATATGTTAAGCTGTTTCATTATATTTGTTTTGGTGATCTGTAATCAGTGATTTTGGCTGATACTTTTGGATTTGTTTGGGGGTTCCCCAAGCCATACCCAATAAGACAGTGAATTTTATCAGTGAATATGTGTGTTCCCATATTCCCTCTCTCTCTCTCTCAGGGCCTCCCTATTCTCTGAGACACAACAACATTTCAGTTAGACCAATTAATAACCTTATGATGACCTGTAAGTGTTCAAGTGCAGCACTCACTTAAATAAAAAGCTGGAATTGATTCGGGGGCATAGGTTAGTGGGGAAGGCATACTGAAAGCTGTAACAGGCCAAAAGCTAGACCTCTTGCTTGAAAAGATTAGCCAGGTTCTGAATGCAAAAAGGGTTTTGAAGAAAGTTAAAGTGATAATCCAATGAAAAATAAATGATATAAGAGTGAAACATATTTAATACTGATACAGAGAAAGTTTTAATGGTTTGGATAGGAGATTGACTAGTGAAAACATTCCCTTAAGCCAGAATATGACCCAACTCTCTTCAAGTCTGTGAAAGTTGGGAGAAGTGAGGAAGCTGAAGAAGTATTTGAAGCTTGTGAAGGGTAGCTTATAAAGTTTAAGGAAAGAAGCCACCTTTAGAAAATGAAAGTGCAAGGTGAGGCATCGAGGGCTGATGTAGAAGCTGCAGCAAATTATCCAGAAGATCTAGCTAAGATCATTAGGAGAGTGGCTACACTACACAGTAAATCTTCATTGTAGATAAAGCAGCCTTACGTTGGAAGAAGACAGCATCTAGGCCTTTCAAAGCTAAAGAGAAGTCAATGCCTGGCTTTAAAGATTCAAAAAACAAGGCTAATGCCTCTACCTTCTTAGAGGTAACTTTAAGTGGAAGCCACTGCTCATTTGTCATTCTAAAAATTCTAGGGCTCATAACAGTTATGTTAAATCTACCCTAACTGTGCTCTGTAGATGGACAGATGCCTAAGTGACTACATAACTATATACAGCAGGGGTCCTCAAACTTTTTAAACAGGGTGTCAGTTCATTGTCCCTCAGACTGTTGGAGGGCCACATTGTGGGCCCTGGGATGAATCGGCTGCTAAGCAGGACAGGCAACAGTGGCAAAAACAAAAACACCCGGCAGGCCGGATAAATGTCTTAGGCAGGCTACATGTGGTCCGCGGGCCATTGTTTGAGGACGCCTGATTTACAGCATGGTTTACTGAATATTTCAAGAATACTCTTGAGACCTATTGCTCAGATGAAAATATTCCTTTGAAAGCATCACTGTTCATTGATAATATGGTTAATCACTAAAGAGTTCTAATGGAGAAATACCAATAAATTAATGTTATTTTCATGCCTGTTAACCCAACATCTATCACATGGATCAAGGAGTAATTTTGACTTTAAAGTCTTATCATTTAAGAAATACATTTTGTAAGGCTAAACAGGCATAAATAATGATTCCATAGATGGTTTTGGGGCAAGGTAGATTAAAAACTATCTGGAATGGATTCACCATTCTAGACACTATTAAAAAATATTCACAAGGCTGGAGTGGTTCATATCTGTAATCCTAGCACTTTTGGAGGCTGAGGTCAGAAGATCCCTTGAGCTCTGAGTTCAAGACCAGCCAGAGTAACAGTAAGACCCTATCTCTACTAGATAGAACAATTAGCAGGGCCTGGCGTTGTACACGTATAGTCCCAGCTACTTGGTGTGGTGAAACAGGTGGATCACTTGAATCCCCAAGTCTGAGGTGTCTATGAACTAGGCTGATGTCAAGGCACTCTAGCCTGGGTTATAGACTTTTTAGTTAAGCCATGTATAGACTATACCTTAATATAAAAATAAGTTATATGTGAACTGGGAATTGTTGAAATGACAACAAAGGTTTCAGAATATTACATAAACTTGGTTGATTAGCTGCAATGGGGCTTCAGAGGACTGACTCCAAACTACTGTGGATAAATGCTCTCAAACAGCATGGCTAGCTATAGAGAAATCTTTTGTGGAAGAAATGTCAGTTGATGTGGTGAGCTTTACTGTGGTCTTGTTTTAAGAAATTACCACAGCCTCATCAATCTTCAGCAACCACCACTCTAGTAGGTCATCAATGTCAAGGCAAAACCCAACATCAGCAAAAAATTAGGACTTGATTACATGATCATTAGCATTTTTTGGCAATGAAATATTTTTAAATTAAGACATGTATGGACTACACACTAATATAAAAATAAGTTATATGTGAACTGGGAATTTTTGCAATATTTACTTTATTTGGGTGGTCTTGAACTAAACCTGCAGTACCTTTGGGGCATACTGGTACTCTATCAATGTTTCTGTTGTTACATTTTTGTGCTTGGACTAGTTTTCTGGAAATACTTTGAATTCAAGCATTCATATAAAATGAAATTTGTAATGGTGATAAAAAACGACATGTTGCACAATTATTTTACTGAACATAGATTGAGCTAAGATGTTGTAATACAAAAGTCTCAAAATATTTCTTTAAAAGAACTTATTATTTCACTGCCACTGTTTTTTATATTTCCTTTTCTTCTGCTCTACCTTTTTCTCCTGGAAAATTGTAGTGAGAATTTTGTGAGTAGAACCAACAGAATCTGAAAAGTCTGGAGGGATGAAGTGTATTTACATCTTATGTTGACAACAAATGCCACAACATGATCTTATGTAAGGGGTTGATTGAGGATTTATAATGCATACTTAGACAAGACCAGGGAGTTGTTCACAGATCACTGGAATCCCTAAATGTCCATTTAACCTTTGACATTAGTGTCATGGAAACCTGTGGTCATCTTTTACTCACAACATCTTTGAAACTGGAAATTCCTTCTGGTCAGGAGATTTTCAATTACTTTATTGATCAAATTCATTCAAAAGGCAAGGCATGACTCATTTGGGTAGTAAAAATAAAAATAAACAACTAATTAAATGATCTTTGCCTACATCTAATGATTTCAGGGATATGACAATAAAAGCAAGTTCTAAAAGCTAACTGAATTAGGTATAGGTATTTAATTTGAAACAAAAATGTAACATCATTTGAAATTTAATAAATAGTGTTCTCTTCCAGTAACACAGACTCACTTTCTCACTGAATTAAAAATTTATTCATAGCATTTTGTCCATTGGCCTATTTTTGACCCATGACCCATAAAGAAAATGAATTCCATGAAGCTTTCAGTTTGCATTTCTGTTTGTTCTGCTATTACCCAATGAGTCGTAATAATTATAATATTATAATTCCTCATTATTTAAGATTATTTTATTTCTTTCTAAATTGAAGAATTTGATGAAGAAAAGCTGCAATCCTTCTAATTTTTTGCAAACAATAAGTCATTTTTTATTGTTTTTAAGGGTTTTATCATTGATATAGTAGGTTTATGTTGATTAAAGTCCATAGTATTTTCATATGTAGGGACCATCTCATAAATTTTAAGTGTAATAAAATTGGTTGGCTTTTTCATAGTAGACTCTGAAAGGCCTCCTTAAATTTACTGTTTTCTTCCTCAAAACTGTAAACTATAGGAATAAAGATGATGCATATAAATTGGGAAATAAATAGTAATATAAACTGATGTTGATAATAGCTGATGGGCAAAGGAGATGTGAGCATTTAGCAAACTTTTTTTTTATTATATACAATATAATACAAGATGACCTTTCTTACAAAAGATGCTATTTCTTTTCTGAATTGCTTAACAATAATTAGAATCCACCATTCACCATTCTTTTATTCCCTGTGGAAGTCATATATATAGACACACACACATATATACATACATACATATAAATGCTCTAATATATTTAAAATAACATATTTTATATGTTACATGTAAATATATATGATAAACAGTACATTTTGGATCATTAACCAAAGTCTGTAATGTTTATGCTACAGTTTATAGAACTTTCTGTTAAAAAAGACTTTGTTGGACCTGGGTATATTTGTTTGGTTATAAGATATAAGATAATTTCTAATGAATTCTACATGAAATCTCACATCCAATTAAACCCCTATTTTCCTAACAATGTAAATAATGGTCTTATGACATATGCATAAACACGGACTATGTATGGAAACTCTGTTTTTATCATACCATATTGTTTACTTAGATTGCTTTTTATTTTTGCCTAATTATAAGCACTAATTAAGTCAAATCATACAAATAATATGACTGTAATTTGAAGACCCAGTGTCACAATTTTTGAAGTAAATTATTTATAATCTAATATTCTAGCATCAATAGAAAATTTACCCTATGTAATTATAGCACACAAGTGGTATCATGAACACTAAAATTATGTACTATACACATATTTATAATAATGCAAAATTAAAAATTAACTGCCCCTCTGATGCTTCACAGGTTTTCTTAAATAGGAACATGAGAAATAAATGAATGTTTTCTGAATTGCTGACATAAACCTAGCAAGACAATAAAAAACGAAATTCTAAATTATCAGAATTTATCCCAACATCATTTCAATTATAATTAATGAAGATTAGTATAGTGTATATAGATGTAGGTATAGTATGTAAAGATGACAGATACAGGATAGATTTATTATATCCATGGTAAGTTATAAATAATATGTATAACTTTGGAGTTGTAACCTTACTTTGAACGTTAGTGTATCAAGACTACTGGATTTCATAGTTATTAAAATACCCTAAAAATCCTTTATTTTTTAGTTTTGACAGATAGACCTCCACCCATAATTCTACAAGGTCCAGCCAACCAAACACTAGCAGTAGATGGGACAGCACTGCTGAAATGCAAAGCCACTGGCGATCCTCTTCCTGTAATTAGCTGGTTAAAGGAGGGCTTTACTTTTCTGGGCAGAGATCCAAGAGCAACTATACAGGAGCAAGGAACTCTGCAGATTAAGAATTTAAGGGTAAGTAACGTTTGCCTTGTACATGAGACTTCCCCTGCTCTGGTGAAAAACTGTGGGCTGAACTTAAGATCCTACATTCCAGCATTAGTACCACACATTGTAAAATAGGTTATGTTATTTCTTATTTTAAAAATGATAAACTGAAATTCTTCATGTTGATGTTACTCATAAATTCATAACAGAATGTGAAACTTTTGTTCCTGCATCGCATCCCATAGGAATGCAGTCAATAAAAGTAGAAATGGTGGTGGGATATTCAAAATAATTTGAAAGTGATGTTTACTATTATTAGTGAAGGAAGATTGTAGGGAAATATGGATGAAGTTCCTTGTCCAAACAGTTTGGTGAAAAAAATAAAGAGATGAGGCTGAGTACATGGGCAATAGGTTGGGCTTATTGGCGGAAATCTTGGATTTTAGGTTAAGTTGTTGTGTAGATTTAAACCCAAGAATAAGAACATGCCTTTGGTGGTTTTTTAATATGAAGTTTACATGACAGGGAATGACCATTTCTAGCAACTTAACAAGTCAGGCCTACTCCAGGATCAACTCAAAATAAACCATAAGTTTATGGATATTATTGTTTATTACAATGTAACGATGTAGGTGAGACTATTGAGGCTTAAAACAATGCCCTTTTATTGTGTCAGAGTTTCTGTACGTTTAGAGCCTGGACACCACTTAGGTAGGTCTTCTGTAGGAGGGTTTTCCAAGGCTACATTCAAGTATCAATTAGGCTGTGGTCTCATATGAAGATTAAGGAAGGATTTACTTTCAATCAATATGATTGTTAGTCCTGTACAGTGCCTTGTGGCTCCTGGGCTAACAGTCTCAGCTTCTTGCTGACTATTTAATGGAGACAGCCATTAGTCCTGGGATGTATGGATCTTTCCAACATGACAGCTTGCTTCATCCAAGTCAGCCAAGAAGCGTCTCTCTGGCAAGATGGGCAATATAATCCTGTGTAATCACAAATATGGTATTCTGACACTCCTATGATATTCACCAGAATCAAGTCAACAGTTCCCACCCACATGCCAGGTGAAGGATTACCTGACGTGTAAATACCAGAGGGTTGTTATCATGAAGGCTACCTGTCCCCTGCCAGTATATTCAACTGATTCAACTGAGTATAGTAAATCTCTTCCTTCACCCCCCACGTAGCAAATGTTATGCTAAAGCTGGAGAGTATATTGTAATTGCAATACTAGATTGGGAGTGAACTAACACAGCTGATGTGATGGTGTCTGAAGAAAAATTGACTCAGTAGAGGAGAGTTAAAGAAAGTGAAGAAAAATGAATCAGTAGAGAAGCGATTTAGTAAAATCTGTAGTCTAGGTAGAAGTTGCAAGCCAAGATAGAGAAAAACAAAACAATGTTGTAGAATTTCTTCATTTTGAAGCCAAGAAGAAAGATAAAAATTTTTAACTATATAAATTTCAAAATGATTACAATTTGGAGGATTCTCCTCTGACAATGGGAATATATTTAGAAATATATGTTTATCTAGTTGTTTATTATTATTATGTCATACAGATTTATATGACAAAGGAAGAATTATTGTATTTTTATTGCTTGCACAAAAGCATATACATGAATAAATTTTTAATTTATTAATATAATAACATATATTATATGTCTTGATTTTTGAAACACAGGCATTAATTGTTACTCTAGGAAAAAATGCTACCAAGTTAGGTTAAAATAAAAGTAAATTAAGACATATTTTTAGACTCGGTGCCTATAGTACAGTGGTTACAGTCTGGCCACATGCACCGAGGGTGGCAGGTTCAAACCTGGTCTACGCCAGCTGAACAACGACAACTGCAACAAAACTAGCCAGGTGTTGTGGTGGATGCCTATAGTCCCAGCTACCTGGGAGGCTGAAGCAAGAGAATCGCATAAGCCCAAGAGTTTGAGGTTGCTGTGAGCTGTGATGCCACGGCACTCTACCAAGGGTGACATAGTAAGACTCTGTCTTAAAAAAAAAAAAAAAAAAAAGACATATTTTTAGCTTCCTTTCAGGAATTATAAGTTGTTAAGCTTCTTTGAACAAAATGGAAGTTATTAAAAAAATTAATGCTAACTCTCTTTGTGTAAACACTTTAACCTCTATCTCTGAGCTAAAGGCAGATTTGGGCCATGGAGGTTAATGCATTTTCACTGTATCCCTGAATTAAAAGGTATGCTTGAGTAGTCAAGATTCCTAGCAGGGCTTGAAAGAAGCAATTGAAAGTGGGTGCTTGACGATGTCAGACAAACTTGCAGGCCTCTGACAGGCTTCTGAATAGTCTCTGAGATGCCAACTCCTAGGGGCCTGTCTGCAGCCAGCTGTACAAGGAGAGAGTCGGGGATGCAGTTTGCGACCACATTAATCTCTTTTTAAAGCAACTGCTAAAGAATAAAGGAAAAAGAATGGAAAATATGTGAAGCAGTACCGACAAGGAAAGTCATTATATAAAGTTAAAGAAAGAGAAAGGAAGGTGGTGATGGCGCAGAAATGAGTTGTATCAATGATATTTAGGTTTGGGTTATTATTTTTGATAACCTCCAAGATGGAAACATTGTTCCTTTTCTGTAAGACGACTGGCTTTAAAGAGAGGTAAAAATAGGCTTTCTAGTACTTTCCTAGTATGGTCCAGAGCATTTCTGTCGGTATTATTCCTTTCTGTCTTACCATTTCGTTTTTAGTACTTAATGCAACAGGGGAAAAAAATAACGTGATGAATAGTGTGTTCTCATAGTCCAGCTAATTGGTAACAGAATCTGTATCGTGTAAGAAGTAGAATATTCCACTACTCATTAAAACATACCTACCGCAGCTAGTGTCAGGCCTGTACCTCCACACAGTGACAAGGAGATACAGCGAAGAAGCATTACCTACATACACTTTCTTTCAGCATTTGCAAGTAATAACAAGTGCTACATTTTAGTTCAACAGCTATAATAAAATGCAAATTCTTTTACTCTTTCACAGACCATATTCAAAGGAACATCCCATTAAGATCCAGCCTCAGCTCATTATATTTAGTTTGTGAGTGATGCTTCTTAAATGCAAAGGTTTCTAATGACGATAATGCATACAAAGCCACATCGGAAAGGATGTTTCTCTCCACAGTGGTGACCGACATCATTCCTCTGTGTAATGGAAGACAATTGTATAGTAATAATCTGGCAAAGAATGGCACACCATAGCAATTTGAAACTTAAGTTAAAATATATAATAACACTTAAAATTAATTAAGATAATAAAATAGCAGTAACATCTATGCATTGATGATTTACCTGAGAATCAATTGTGAAAACGTGAGTCTTAGATACACTTACATTTTGAACCAAATAGATGCAATATTCTATCAGCTTTTATATTTCATCAACAATTAGAATCAAATTCATCACAGAATTTTTATTTTATGCCTTCTGCCTTGTCTTATTCTGTTTAGTCATCAGTATCACTTCTCAATATCACGTTTCTTTCACCCCTAAAATAATGCCAATGAATGTTGTTTGCAACCTAAGCCTTCAAGGCTCAATCACAGAGAGGAGTTTTGCATTTTTTTTTTTTTTTTTGAGCTTGGGGTGTATTTTAAGGTATAATCATAGAATCTTCTGCCTTTTACATTTGTAAGAGAGAACTCTTAATTATATTATCAGCTTTTTCTGAAAGTCTTTTGCCACTCTTCAATTAATAAGAAAATATTTCTAATGTTCAATACAATGACATTTTTTTTTAAGTATGCTTTAAAACAAAATTATAAACTGTATTATTTTAATAGTCCCCTGGGCTTAATTTTGTAGTCTCCATAGCCATAGTTTGTTTTTTAAGGATATTTTGTTTTATTCACTGCTTTACCGCTAAAGTTTATGTGTGAATGATACTGACCTTTTTAAAGGAAAAATTCAGTTCTCTTAAAAAAAAATTGTTTGATTTTTCCAAAGTTTTTCAGAAGAAAGAAAGTATGGCCCCCTATCATTTCATTTCTTTTTAACTTGGATATATTTTATTCATTGAAACATATTTTGTTTGAGACAGAAAGGGCAATTTTGCATGATCTATTTTCTGAAAGTTTACAGGAATTTGAATACATTTTGTCCTAAGTTGTCTAATCTAACTCTGATATAATAAACTTTACCATAAAATGGAATTAAGGAATGAGTATTACCAGGGGGCAAGTAGAATTTATCCGATAAATAATATTTAGTTGTTGAATTTAAAAATAAAAACTCATTTGATTTAATGTTATAAATAACATATGAGTTTATTTTAATATTTTATGTATACATATGATGGACTGTAATGCATAATTTGGACCCCTAACAATACAACTCATTTTGATAAATTAAATATTTTCTCATTGACATTAAGTAATTATTCTACAAATAGATTAAAACAATAATTCACTCCCTTCCATGTATGCTAGATTTCTGATACTGGCACCTACACTTGTGTGGCTACAAGTTCAAGTGGGGAGACGTCCTGGAGTGCAGTGCTGGATGTGACAGGTGAGTTCTTTGTAAATTATCTTAATCGCAGAAATCTTGAGCCCTGTTAGTGATAGCTCATTATCAAATAAGTTAAGGAGAGGTTAAGATTTGCAATTCAATGAATGTCAATTTAAGTCTTTACACTCAATGCCACTTTTTAATCCACGCATGAGTTTGCAAAAATGAATCGCATTTGTGAAATTCAGTACATTTGTCCTTGATAATCTTGTTATTTTGTTTCCTCTAAAGCACAAGGACTTCTAGTGATTAAGTGTAAAAATAAAGGTTTTACTTATGAACATGTAAGAGAAGCGTACGTCATACTGACATGCGTCTGATTCATGGAGATGAATTGCTTACCGTCTAGGTTAACTCCTTTAAGATACTGTTTCCTTTCTTGAAGCATTATTGTCAGCTTATGCAATCAGGAATGAAGTTTTTCTGTCTCTCCTCTATAGAGTCTGGAGCAACAATCAGTAAAAATTATGATTTAAATGACCTGCCAGGGCCACCATCCAAACCGCAGGTCACTGATGTTACTAAGAACAGTGTCACCTTGTCTTGGCAACCAGGTACCCCTGGAACCCTTCCAGCAAGTGCTTATATCATTGAAGCTTTCAGGTATGGGACAGTTCCTGTTTCTCTATTCTTTTTTAGTTTGTATATTCTAATAGAACACTTAAGCTATTCTGCTATTTTCTTTTAAGGGCATTGTCAACCAATGCCTTTTAAGTATTGATCTTTTCTATCTTACTGTATTCAAAAACAAGACTACATTTTTTGTTTATAAGGTAATGACAAGATTAAATATGCTTTATCCATGCCTACTTCTGTAGTGATCTAGTTCATGACATAACTTTTTTTTTTTTTAACCCTGATCATTTTAGGGATTTAAAATGAGAATTTGAGCATAAGAACTAAGCAGAAAGTGATCGAATTAGGCAGAGGCACTTTTAAAGATATAGAGACATGGGGCTCTGTAATCTTTATTCCTAATAATTAGAGAAGAACTTAAAATAATTCTGTATTTTAAAATATATCTATTAGTAATTCCTGAGAGACAATTAAGAACCAGTTAATAAATTTATTCTATATGCTTTTAGTTGCAAAAAGAAAAAGATGTTTTCACATGTTATTTGAAATAATTGTCAACAATGTAAAGATACAGACTATAAGTGTCATCATAAAATTGTCTTAGGGGAATTTGATAAAATATTGGTGCAAATGGGAAAATGTACTTTAATATTCCATAACAATGTACTTGTATTTGATATTATAAAATTTAAGGGATCGCCACTGATCTTTGTAAACATTAGGACAATCACTTTTCTTTTTAGGTATCTCTAATCTGTATTTAAAGTAATGACAGATACTTAGTTTTCAAACTTCAAAATACTATTTTTCTATAATTTTTATGCTTTGGTACTTACGCTCATCTGAAAAATAAGCAGATCATCCTGAAAATCATATCTTCTGCTCCTTTGGCACAAGAATAGCCTCTGACCTAAGACACAGTTCTAAAATAGCGTCCGTCTATGGCTAGCTGTAGAGGGGTCCTCACACGCAGATTCAGAGGTATTTCACCATGTTGAGATGAGAAATCACAATACTGTGTAATGTACAATTTTATTAAATATGTAACCAAGGGGAAAAATATTCATGACATGCTTCCTTTCTTCTTTTACAGATGTATAGTTTTAGAAGGCTCTATTAGAATATTGCATGTGGAATTGATGCAAAAGAAAACACACCTTGTAACAGGAAAATGTATTGGCATAATTTACTCTGTAGTCCATTTATTCTTTCTACAGGTTAATTCTTTTCAAGGTATATATATACATTTACGAGGACCATACTTATTGTATAAACTTGATGTTGTGATCTTGGCCTCTGTTCCTTTTACAGGTATTCATTTAGTGGGCTGCTGTGCATTAGCAAAGGGCTGTCACATCTCCTGGGCTGAGTTTAATTTTGTTGTGCATGGCACTTTTGTTAGGTGGGCTCAGCTTTGTTGTTGAATAAACCGAAATCATCCAAACGTTTCATTTATTGGGCTGAACACTTCAAGTGTTGTGTGTGTGCGTGTTTAATTTTCAGCCATTAACTTTTGTCATTGAAACCCAATTCCATTTCCAGTACTCTTATGCCCATTTTTTAAGTGAACTTTCTGTTCGTGTTTCAGCCAATCAGTAAGCAATAGCTGGCAGACGGTGGCAAACCACGTAAAGACCACCCTGTACACTGTGAGAGGACTGCGGCCTAACACCATCTACTTATTCATGGTCAGAGCGATCAACCCCCAAGGTCTCAGTGACCCGAGCCCTATGTCGGATCCTGTGCGCACACAAGGTAATTTCGACAGCTGGTTCTAGAAGGAAATGTCACACAGATATTGAAAAACAAGGGGATTGCCTGAGGAAAAGTAAATGTGTCTGTGATGCTTTCTATAGTTATTCACTAGACTTTACCCAATGAAGAAGAAAGCTCAGGACTCACCCTGGTGAGACTGTCCTACTGCTGGAGCTTTCAGGGTCTACTTAGGTGCAAGTGAACAAAACAATTGGGAACATGTGCATAGTAAGAGTGAATCCAGAAATTAAGGCTTCACTGTCTTACAAAGCAAAAGATGTTTCTCCTTCTTTGAAATTAATTATACGATAGTAGAAAAGTGGTCTTTAATGAATAGATTCCCAGATAAGGAGATCAATGTTATTTCCTATTATTCATGAATCCTCTTTTTATAGTCAAAGTGTGGCTCTCAGGTAAGAGGGATCTGCATCATCTGCGACTGCTGGAAACAGATTTTCAGGTTCCAACTCAAGCTCTGGAGTTGGAGCCCAGAGTCTGTCTTAACAAAACCTCTTTGTAATGCCGATGTGTGAGTTTTATAACCACTAGTAAAATATATTTTATTAAATCAAATTATCAAGAGTCATTTATTTCAGAAAGCAGGAAATCAAGTTTCTTCCTGAGGAATGCAATGATTTAACTAATAAAATCCCAGCATATTAAAATATGATTTCAAAATGGGAGATTTCATCATTTCATGCTTAGTGTAACCTTCCTCTGAGTAACTACAATGATACATTGTAGTCTCCCCCCTGCTAGTAGGTGAAGAGAATTAATAAAATAGAAATGGTAGTTTTATTATTTGTTAGAACCTACTTCCCACAGGGTTATTCAGAAAGGGTTAATTATTTCTTATTTGTAAAAGGCTTTGAACAAGATATAATTTAAAGTAGTATTTTTATTCAGTGAAAAGCACCATACAGCCATAAAATATTATTATAATTACAATGTAGTTCAATGATAGTAACTAGCATGCTATTATAACAGGGAAGGGTGCCTTAAAGGAATCGAGTGAAATAAAGTCACCACGTGACTCTGTAACATTGCTGACATGATGACAGTTAGGGGAGGAGGGAAGACCACTTTGCTATTGTTCTCTAAGCAGTAATGTGATTAATTTTCCACAATGATAAAGGGCCTGTAGGTAAAGAAGCTGTCTCAGGAGAAATAAAAAGCACAACAAGGAATCTGAAGATCTGAAACTAGTTATATTTCACCTTGCCTAGAAACAGTTGCTCTCAGTGTATCTGAATTTAATGAGCAAATTAAATTATTGAATTTGAAATAGAAGAGAAATGCAATCTTAAGGAAAGAAATGAGAGTGCTTAGGTGGTTTATACCTTTGTGGATAGAAAGGGATTTTGTGTGCAGCTTCAGCAGAAGGTAGAGAAAAAGAGCGGGAAAAATGTTGATGTGATCAAATCCAGGAGATTTCCTTGATTTTTCAGTACCGAGGGCAGTCACTAAGTTGTGACTCATAAAATGACTCTCAGTGAAAAGGTTAAAAAAGATGAATGAAATTTGTTTGTGACTTGGTTGGTTCCTGTTGAAAGACTATGTAGACCAAAAGACTCGTGTTCTTTTAACAGATATTTAATATAAAAACTCATGTATTGTGTCTGACTGTAAGGATGAGTTTTGGATATCCCACTGTCAGCGGCTTTGTGTTCCGCATAGCACTTTTTATCAAAGAGCGCTTCCCTTTGTGAGCTCTTATTTTCAAAGTTCTGAAAGTCTGCAGAATCTAGAAATCTTTTCTTTCATTCAAGTTTAAAATACTTGCCCTATCAACATAGAAATAGATGACATGTATTGGCAAGGTTAATACCTTTCACCTAAAGGGACTCTTTTTTTCAAATCAAGTAAAACTTTACCTTGCTATTTATGTTAAGAATGAAAAGATGGAACCTGAAAAAAAAATCACTGAAATAGGATTCCCATTTATTTGTGTTCCTTTTCAAGTTGTGTACCCTGTTTAAGTAACAGTTGGGATATGCACTTAAACATAATTTTGCCAAGTGCTGCATTGTGGCCTGAGAAAATAGTAGAAAACAATATTAGGAAAATAAATCATTTTAAATTGGACTTCCTTCCTTAAATAGTCAGAGAAAAGCAATTCAAGTTAACCTTGAGGTGCACCAGTTAAAGAAGCTGATTTTTGAGTGTGTGTGGAAATTCAGCGCTTGTAGCAACTGGATGGACTTGGCTGTCTAGAACTTATTTTTCCTTAAGGGACACAGAGTTTGTGGGCCATAGAGTAGTAGTTGGTGACTTGTGCTCAGAGAGGCATAAGGACACATGGCTGGAGGTAAACATTTCAAACATCCCTGTTCTTTCCTCCCCCCCAGCCCCCACTCCTAGAGCAGCTGCCTGACCTCCTGTCGGATATGGGCGTACTGCTCACAATTTATTACTTCAGGGCATGTTATAAGCATTCTAAATTTTTCTGTCAAAAGTATTTTTGTGAATTTGAGAAGTTTCTTCCTTTCTCTCCCTTCACTCTGTTTATCTTTAATAACATAATTCACCTCCTACCTTCCCACTCCTCTCCTGTGCTCCCAGATGGAAGCAAGTCAGGAGTGCAACCTGTTCCGGGGACAGAGGATTCAGCAAGCTACTCCACAGACGTTGTCAGATGTGTCCCAGTTTACTACTTCCAGAAACCCTTACTATACCAACATCTATGTATTGCTGGTCATTCTAGAGAAATCTTAGAGCACATACTTTGTACTTTAATAAGAAAATAGCAATCTCTGTTTTAATGAAAAATTATAAACTTTCATTCATGAATATATTTTTAATGAAGATACATATCATCTCTCCCATTATGCCCTACCATTATGGTATTACCCTATGCACGCAGGCTTCAATGCTTTTTGTAACAAAGGAGTTTTCCTATCTAACTTGCAGATATCAGCCCACCAGCCCAAGGCGTGGACCACAGACAAGTGCAGAAAGAACTAGGAGATGTCATCGTCCGTCTTCATACTCCGGTTGTCTTGACTCCCACCACTGTTCAGGTCACGTGGACGGTGAGTTCTCTAAGCCTCTGTCAATGAATATCTCTTCTATTCCTTTAAAGAAAACAAAACAGAAAAGGAAAATACAAATGAATAATAACCAAACAATTTGCAAAACCTTCACCTTTTAAAATCAAGGTGTAATCAATGACAGTATAGGAAAATTTGCAGTAAATTATAAAAAAGTAAATAATGTAAATATAGTAAAAATTGACAGTGATATGAACCTGACATGTCTTTCTGAATTTTCTAACAGCTTGACTGGGATATAATTAACAACCAGAGTTAAAGCCCCCACCTAGGGTTTTTGGCTTTGAAATCATCCTAATATCTAATTTTGAAACATTCACCATCCCAAAACAAACCCTGTGCCTATTACCAGTGGTTCTCTTCTTTCCCCTCCCTTACCCTGTGTAACCAAGAATCTACTCTCTGTCTGTACAGCCTTCCCTATTCTGGGCTTTTTATAAACACAGAATCATGCAGTAGATCATCTTTGAGGTCTGGCTTCTTTCGCTTGGCATAATGTTTTAAGGTTCTTCTGTGTTGTAGCGTGGATCAGCGCTTTCTTTTATTTTTACTGCCAAACACTTTTCCATTGTATGACTACATCACCTTTTATTTATCCTTTCATTAGCTGAAGGATTCAGGGGTTGTTTCCACTTTGGGCTATTATGAATGACACCTTTGTTTGGATGTATGGTTTCATTTCTCTTGGTGTGTACCTAGAAATTGAGTAATATTGGTAACATTCCACTTAACAATTTGATGAACTGGCAGAATGTTTTCCAAAGTGATTGTACCATTTTGTGTTCTCACTAGCAATGGTTCAATGTTCCAGTTTCTCCCAAATCATTGACAGCACATTATGGCTGTATAGGGCTATATCACTAAGGTTTTGATTTGCATTTCTTTAGTGACCAATGATGTTCATCTTTCTTATGTGCTTATTGAGCATTTGTGTATCTTTCTTAGAGAAATCCTTATTCAAATTCTTTGTCTACTTCAAAATTGGATTACTTGCCTTTTATTATAGATTTGTAAGTTTTTTCTATCTGTTTTGATATAAGTCCCTTGTAAGATTTATGATTTGCAAATATATTATCTTATTCCACAGATATTTTTTACTTTCTTCATTATACTATTCAAAGGATAAGACATTAGTTTTTGATGAAGTTGTCTTCTGATGTTCAATCAAATGTCTTTACCTTTTTTGTTGTTGTTGTTGAGACAGAGTCTCATTTTGTCACCCTTGGTAGAGTGCTACAGTCTCATAGCTCACAAGGACCTCAAACTCTTGGGCTTTAGTGATTTTCTTGCCTCAGTCTCCCAAGCAGCTGGGACTACTGGTGCTCACCACAATGCCTGGCTCTGGTTTTTAGAGATGCAGTCACACTCTGGCTCAGGCTGGTCTTAAATTCATGAGCTCAAGCAGTCTACCCAACTTGGCCTCCCAAAGTGCTAGGATTACAGGCATGAGCCACCATGCCCGGCTTTTTTTAAGTTGACCCTTATCCAGAACTACTCAGACATGTATGTAATTTAATTATTTGACATATATAAGTCAAAAAATAGGGGGTATTAAAAATAAGTTCATATTTTAATATTTGTTAAGAATATTCAAAGCTATGCATTATTGAATGTGTCAGAATACCACAGTTATTCCAAAATGCAAATTGTTTTGATCAGATGGTAACCACTGCAGGGAAAACAATAAATAGCATAAAAACAGTGACATTAGCCATGTTAGAGAATACTAATACTTGAATGTGTGGGTGTTTTGAGAAGCGTCAAATAATGCTCTTCTCTGTGCTAGCTTCTCATTTATTCCCAAACTCTCTGATATAGCTTCTAAAAATTTATAAGGAACTATATTGGGATTATGGAAGAGTGCATTTACTTAAAGTTTTCTGTGTAGGTGGAAGAACTTGTATAAGTAATAAGCATATGATTAGGGATAGCAGAAAAAATATTTTAGTTGTGGGCAGCGCCTGTGCTCAATGGGTAGGGCACCGGCCCCATATACTGAGGGTGGTGGGTTCAAACCCAACCCCGGCCAAACTGCAATAAAAAAATAGCCAGGCATTGTGGTGGGTGCTTTTAGTCCCAGCTACTCGGGAGGCTGAGGCAAGAGAATCGCCTAAGCCCAGGAGTTGGAGGTTGTTGTGAACTGTGTGACGCCACAGCACTCTACCGAGGGCCATAAAGTGAGACTCTGTCTCTACAAAAAAAAAAAAAAAAGTTATAATATTGTGTATTTAGAATGTATTTATAATGGTTTCTCTATTATTATTTCTATTTAGTGTTATGTAAGTGAAAGAATATCGACAAATCAAACAATCGAATTTTCTGCCCTTGGCGTCCATGTTACTTTAGGGCAATGTTTTTCAACCTTTTCTATCTCACAGCACGCTTAAGCCTCTAGTTAAACCGCCATGACACACTTAAATAATGCTGATCAAAAAAACAATAAAATAAAGCATATACTGACTGTGCTTTGAACTCGTTTTGAAAATAATTTTATTGCTACTCTTCAAAAATGTCTGTGTCACACCTAAGATCCTCCCGTGGCCCAGCAGGGTGTCGTGGCACAAAGTTAAGAAGCAGTGCATGAGGGAAATAACTATTCCACAAAGTCCAGTCAACTCCCTCAATGAATGAGGTCAATAAAGCATGCCCCCCGCACCCCCAGGGTTGAGGGCTCTCCTGCATTTTGAACTTTACCTTAGGAGTGAGAAGAGTGTAACCTAAACATTTGTTCCCTCATATCAATTTGAAATTTTAAAAAAGATGAAGCAATAGAGATTTGAAAAAAAAAAACAACTACATAATTTGCCCAATGGATCTAGCAAGTAAGTGGAAAATACAGTTGTGATATTGATACTGTCACCTATTAACGATGTATAAACCAAAAAAAAAAAAAAGAATAACACTATAGACAGAATTTTCTACCACAGGGAAATTATTAACTCTATACTCAGGCACCCAAAACTATATCCTCACTTGTCTACACATATGTGGGAAAATATGAAGGCATTATCATTTAGAAGAGGAGAAACTAAAGAACATTTAGGGTCGTTTAGTCGAATTCTGTACTTTTATCAAAGGAAACCAAAAGCACACAGGTTGAAAGTGTTCCCCCAAATCACATGTCTATTCATTAATAAAAACAAGATTAGGATTTTCTGACTTTAAGTCTTCTTTTTGTTATTGTTTGACAAAAGAAAAAAAAAGCTATAGATAAATACTCAGCCATAAAGAGTAGTATTTAATGGCAAGATTTCAACATAAAATCCCAGGTGCAACATCTCATTGCTTTATAAACCAGACCCCATTATCAGGCAAAGTGTTGGCTTATGAGTATAAAAGTGGGTAATACTTTAATAAAAATAAGTTTATAATGTTTTAAAAATAATTGGGATTATTTAGGATTCCAGTATTTCCAATTCTATTTTTGATTCTATTCTTCCATTTCCATGAAGGGAATATAAATCCCTCATCCTATTTCCAAAGCCACAGTGAGGGGTATTATCTGCCAGGCCTCTTCCATCATCCAGTAGCTTTGACTCAATACAAAACTAACAAAGCCAAGAAAATAGTTGAATTTTTCATAGAAGATTTTTACTCATTCAAAGCTGAAAATGTCTTTTCTGCTCTGTTGGGAGTTTTGAGGAGGCTTCTTTTAAGATGCTTCTAAATGTGGGAATTATTTGGGTAAGAATCAAAGTCATTATATTTATGAAGTTAATCACTTTAAAAGTCACTGAGTTTAAAAGAGTAAATCAAATTAGATCAAAATTGCATGACAGTAGCCTGGGAGTTCTTCCAAGGTAGGGACCTTGTCTCCTTCATCTCTGTATCGTAAGAAGCTTGTCATTACTAGTTTGCTTATCTTGCTCCCTCATGGGCTGTAACTTCTGTGAGTCTGGAGTCCATGTTTTATTTTCATTTCTATTTTCCTAGAGAACAGTCTCCTATGAAGTATGCTTTCAATAACTATCTGTTTAATAATGAAATCAGTTGTTTTCATGTTTTTAATTGTTTTGTTGAAAAAAGGAATTCAATTAATATAATAGGATATTGTTCTGCATGAGTTCATAGTCACATGTAGCATAAATATGTTTTGAGAGAAGTATATTTAGTGAACTAAAGTCAGACTGGGAGTTGCCAAAGAAACTGTAACTATTTTATTTTCATGTAATATTTTTAACTTGCTAAGTATATACGATGTTTGACAATGAAGGCCATGAACTCATTCTACAAAAAATGCACCATACCTCAGTCTGAATATCACTATATTCACCTTTGAAATACTTTCCTTGAGAAGCTATGCACTGAATCCCAGTGCCTAATCCACTCTTCAAAGCAATTTTGGAACCATTTTAATAATGGCCATCAAAGGCATCATTGTATTACCCTTGATGCCTTGAATGACATTTTAATGTCATTAAAATGTCTTCCCTTCAATATTTCCTTTATCTTAGGGTAAAGAAAAAAGTTACTGGGGACCAAATCAGGGGAATAGGGAGGGTGTTTCAATATAGTTGCTTGTTTACAGGCTAAAATTCCCTTACAGACAGTGCCCCATGACCTGGTGCATTGTTTTTGGTGCAAGAGCCATGAGTTGTTGGTGACAAGTTTAGATTGTTTTTGTTTTTTTCTCACAGGCTTTTCAGCACTTCCAAATAGTAAACTTGGTTAAGTGTTTGCCCTATTGGTGCAAATTCATAATGAGCAATACTTCTGCTATAAGTAAAGGTTAACAACATCATTTTGACTCTTGATTTGGAGTAGTGGAACTTTCTGGTTGTACACATTGGCGGATTCCCATTGTGCACTTTTACGCTTTGTTTTAGGATCTTTAGATGTTTCATCACCAGTGACAAAATGACCCTAAACATTACCTTGCCTCTCTAAAAGGGACAACTTGGATCCTCCTTTGCTTTTGTTCATCAGTGAGCTTTTTTGGGACTATTTCTGCACATATCTTTCTCATGCCAAGATCATCTGTT